TTTTTCTAGGAATTTCTGAAAAGGTTAAGATTTCACATATGTAACTGAGCTGTCAACTGAACCGACCTGGAACTTTGAGATAGAGAAGAGGTTGGCTCGAGGCCCCTCCCATGTCTCGCTGGAGTTGTAATTCACTTGCTAAGATTGCTTCAAATCCCCGGGAATTTATAGTCTCATTTCCGGCTCCCAGTTCTGATTCTACTGAATTTAACCATGAATTCACCTTCTCAGGCTGTTCTTTTTTCTCTACTCCCCACCAATCTAAAGGTAGAACTCTAACCGTTTGGTCTGATTTTCTCCCCTGAAACGCCCACACAAGACATTTCTAGATTTAGCAGATTTTACAGAATATCTGGGAACATGGAAGGGGGTTATATTGAGTATGTGAGCCTCAAAATTGACTATCAATATCCCTTTCCTAAAATCTTTGGATGACCCCACCAAGAAGAATTTCTCACTGACCACCTCTCTCTGCAGGATCCCACCTTCTGTCTCCAACGTTATTTAGAATCTCTTTGTCAAGTGACCCCAAGAATGCATTGGGATTTTGATCCCATTCCACTAAACATTTAAATTAATTTGAGGACAACTGATATGTGCACAATATCGAACCTCTTATATCCTTCTACTTATTCAATCCTTCTTTTTGCTCACTCTGAATTCCTATTGTAAACTGGAGCTTTATTCAAATTACTAACTGATGGCTATGTATATTTATTTTGTAATTACTCACATTATGAGCTACTGAATTAGGCTTAATAGGTTTTTAGAATTTAGTTTTAATTGTTTTTTTTTTAATTTATCTTTGAGGCACTGTGAGTAGAAGGTAATATAATTTTCAAATAGTGAATGTGTTTTGCTAACTTATTTTCAATTGTTATGCCTCTTTCTTTCTCTTGTACTTGTGCATTGGGTTAGAAGTTTCAAATCAAAGTGAAATAATAGTAATGACGGCGAGCATCTTTGTCCTGTATCTGAATTTTTAAAAGCCTAGGGGCCGGCCTGGTGTCACAGCAGTTAAGTGCGCATGTTCCACTTCGGTGGCCCGGGGTTCACAGGTTTGGATCCCGGGTGTGGATATGGTACCACTTGGCAAGCCATGCTGTGGCAGCTGTCCCACATATAAAGAGGAGGAAGGTGGGCACGGATGTGCGCTCAGGGCCAGTCTTCCTCAACAAAAAGAGGAAGATTGGCAGCAGATGTTAGCTCAGGGCTGATCTTCCTCAAAAAAAAAAAGTCTATTGTATACTGGATGTCTCCATGTCCTTACCCCACTTTTACTCCTAGACTCCCTTCAATCAGAGGTCTACCTCCGCCCTCCAACTAGAAATACACATCTCACATTGCGCTGTATGCGTGCACTGAGCTCTGTAACAGGTCTAGGGGCCCGCCCGGTGGCACCGCGGTTAAGTTGGCACATTCTGTTTCACTCAGGATTCACTGGTTTGGATCCCGGGTGCAGACACGGCACCCCTTGGCACGCTGTGCTGTGGCAGGCGTCCCACGTATAAAGTAGAGGAAGATGGACACAGATGTTAGCTCAGGGCCAGTCTTCCTCAGCAAAAAGAGGAGGTTGGCAGCAGTTAGCTCAGGGTTAATCTTCATCAAAAAATAAATAAATAAATAAATATTAACACATTTACCTAGTCACTTCTTGAATTGGGTTATGGCTCTCGTAACCGTAAGAAAACTGACTGTTATAACCCTCCTCTTTATGCTCCCTCAACAGTGTGTGCTATCTTTACTTACCTGTTTAGACTATAAACTCCTTGAGGATAGAAACTTCTCACTGTTATGTCCCCAGCACCTAATATGCTACTTGGCACATGGCAGATAACCAATGAATATTTGTGGAATAAATTTAATTAATAGATGGACGGATGGATGAATGAATGAAGCAAGATACGTTACTCTCCACTCCCCCTTACCCCCTCACTGCTTGCCATCTTTATGCCTCCAGAGGAAACTTTGGACAGGAGGCAAGTGTGGGCCCCTTGCAGAAATCTCTTCCGAACACTGTTTAGAAACCGCAGCATGCAGAAAAATCACAAGGACTATCTACCCTGGCCTCAAGGGCAAGGCGTGACTAGAGAAATTCCTCTGGCAGTAATGAAGTAGGATGGAGCCAAATCCACCAGAGAAGAATCTGCAATGCAAGAGGCAGCAGTGACAGGAGACGGCCCTCTGGCAGTGCGGCCTGAGAGCTGTCCCTGCCAGCCAGGAAAGGATGCCGCTCGAGATCGGAACCCAGCATAACTATCAAATATGGCCCAATGAAGAGGTGTGTCAGCAACAGATGGAGATGCTCTTTCGTGCTTCCATCAGAGCAGTAAACAAAGAGATAACAATGACACTCCCCCACAAGGGTCAAAATAGGAACTGCCTCCGAAAGTGGCTTTAAATTAATTCATACACTCTTTGCACTGGGGACTATCTGGGGAAAATAGCAAACACCTAGTAAATGACAACTATTGGTATTATCAGTTCAATTATGATGCCCAAAGTAGAGGGTTTTCTCATTTTGGAAATGTTTTTTCTTCACATGTGAAACCCTCTCCACATAAAGATATGACGTCTTGGGGAAAAAATGAATTTTTTTCTCCTAAACTTTCAATTAATTTACACTTTATTTTTCAAAAGTCTTTTTTAAAAAATCCCCACCTTCCAATTATTGTGATCTAAGGAGTGAAAGGAGTTATTCAAATGTGTTACCATAAATGAATCTTAAATAAGTTAAAAGCCAGAAGTAAAGGATTTCTGAAAAATAAATTATTCCTTCCTGAAATATTTATTCCATGCCTACTATGTGTCAGGCACAATGCAAATTCACTGCCCTCATGGAACATGCAGATTAGCAGCTGGAAAGACACTGAAAACTAATGCCATTTTAATTACAATAATGCTGAGAAGGAGTACAAACTGTTAAGTAAGGCTTTGCAGGGTTCACAAAGCCTCTTTTGAGGGTGGGATGTTTACGCTAAGATCTAAAGAACAAAATAACTATGTTAAAGTTGGAGTGGGGAGAGGGCTGGAGAATTGTAGGGGATGACAGAGGAGGAATGACAGGGGGAGGCCTGAACATTAAGCTAATGTCTTGCAGGCAAAGGCTCAAGGCAAGAAGAAGTGTGGCTTCTCATTGCGAAGAACTGAGAGGACAGTTTCTGGAACGGAAAAGGTGAGAGACACAATGACACACGATGAATCTCTACCACTAGGCAGAAGGAAGATCACACAGAGCCTTGTGGGTCTTAAGGATTCGGGCCTTTATCCTAAAGGCAATGGGAAACCATTGAAGAGGGAAAGGAGAGAAGAGACCCAGTCATGTGCTTTAGTGGGATGGTACAATAGTGTCACAGAATCCAGTTGAAAGATGACGGTACCTTGGACTTGTGGAGTGACAGTGGCAATTTAGGGAGGTAAAGGGATTGAAGAATTGTGTAGGAGATAGAATAGAAAAAGACTGGGTGATTGATTAATGAGAAGGGGGGCATGGTAAGGAAGAGGTAAGCAAAGGATAAACCAACAATGACGCCTAGGTTTCTGGCTTAGGCAACCGAGCAGATGGTGGTGGCCTTTACTAAGATAGAGAACACTTGAGAAGATAAAAATTGGGGAGTAAGAGGGCCAGTCCCGTGGCTGATGGTTAAGTTCACGTGCTCCACTTTGGTGGCCCAGGGTTTCACCAGTTCAGATCCTGGGTGCAGATGTCGCACTGCTCATCAAGCCATGCTGAGGCAGCATCCCACATAGCACAACCAGAGGCACTCACAACTAGATATACAACTATATACTGGGGGGGCTTTGGGGAAAAGAAGGAGAAAAAAAATTGGGGAGTAGGAAGACAATGAGTTCCATTTTAGAAAATACTGAATTTTGCATGCCTATCATGAAACATCTTGTGGACATTTCCAGTTGACCACTAGAGAGACAGATATGAATTTCTGGGAAAATTCTTTGCTGGAGAAATGAACTTGAGAATCACAGCCTGAAGATGGTAATGGGGGCCTCAAGGGTGAGATCACCTAAGGAGGGTTTGTAGAGTGACAAGAGCAGAGGAACTCAGGATGGAGCCCTTAGAACTCCAATGTGGAATGAACAGTAGAGGAGAAAGAGCCGTCAGAGCAAGCAGAGAAGGAACAGCCAAAGTCGACAGGTCGCCAGGAGGACGTAACATCACAAAGACAGGGAAAGAGAAGGTGTCTCCAAGGGGTGATCAGCGATGTCAAACACTACTGGAAAGTTGAGATTTAAGTCTGGATTCAAGAGTACGTTAGATTTAGCAGCACAGAAGTCTTTGTCCATCTTAATAATAATATACTCAGATGAGCAGAGGCAAGAATCCCTCAGGTAGAAAGTGAAAGGCCTCTTGATCCCAGATGAGTCGTTTTCATAGCACGCTCTGCTTTATTCCTAAAGTCGGTGTGGCTGCTGTGACTGCAAGAAACCTACTCACATGGAAAAAAAGTCATGTAAGAGGAAATGGGAGCATGCGGACAATTTACGTAGTGGCAATACAGGCAAATTTTATGTATTTTTTTCTTTTATTATGCTACTTGTATAATAGTATATAAAAGTTCCCATGGACTATACTTTGGGGGGGAAATAATATTCTTAGAGGAAAAGGAAATATGGACGCTAAACTGGGAGGTGAGGAACGCAGAGGACGACAAAACAGGACCTTAGGAACGTGGTTCTTTGCACACGTTTGACTGCAAAGGACAGAGAGTCACAGCAGGGCCACATGGGAACACGTGGCCAAGGGCAGATGTGGAAGGGTTTGATGCTGGTGTGAAAAAGCTGCAGAGAGGGCAAGATCAGAGCCACAGGGAGAGCAGAAGATGCGCAGAGCACAAAGTTCCAACAGGGAGGAGGATGCTTCAGACCCAGAAAGGAGGGCCAGGAGCAGTGCAAGGTGGTGTTGCCGTGGAGGTTTGGGGACGGGACGCTGACAGTGGTCCAATTGGATGACTCTAGTTTCTCTATGAGGTTGAAGGTGAGGTCACCAGCAAGAGTAAGAGGGGACATCAGCAGGCAGTGGAGTGAAGAGAGTGGATTAAAGTAAGCATGGTTTGAGTCTGAGGAGCTTCTAGTCTTGACTATTCCAACACTTTGCAATTAAATGGTAAGTATTCGGGAGCCTTGAATGGTTTCCATTATACTCTAGAGATAAATTTTAAAATTCTATTAGTCTTAGGAAATTAATGATTGCAATGGAATGTATAAAACGTTCATTACTGTTAAGATATCTTTTGATTCACTATACATGATTAAATTTTTACACTTGAAGTTGTATTTTTAAAACTTCACATAAACTTGCCACAATTTTATCTTGGGCCTGGACTAAGAATGTTCTTTTCATCAAAGTGCATTTAAATGGGTTTTGCCCCTGTCCTTTTACAGTATTTTATTAACTTTTCTGCCATTTTCTCTTTTTTTAAATATTTTTCAATTTTTTAATTTTAATTTTTTTTGAGGAAGATTAGCCTTGAGCTAACATCTGCCGCCAATCCTCCTCCTTTTTGCTGAGGAAGACTGGCCCTGACCTAACATCTGTGCCCATCTTCCTCTACTTTATGTGTGGGACGCCCACCACAGCATGGCTTGTCAAGTGGTGTGTAGGTCCACACTCAGCATCCGAACGAGCGAATCCTGGGCCGCTGAAGCGGAACATGCCAACTGAACTGCTGCACCACTGGGCTGGCCACTTTTCTGTCATTTTCTAACCCATCTAATACCACATGGTTGTATATCTATTCTTTAAAATATAGATATTTTCTACATGCTCCCACCCTTTTGAATAAACTGCCCACTACTAAAACAATACCACTTTCTTCTACCACACTAATTTTCCCTTTATTTAACAAGAACTAATAATGTACATTGGGTCCAATTTTTCAAAGTGCTGTCACATACATTATGCTATTTATTGCTGTAACATTGTGAATTATATATTATGGTCATCTTTCTATAGATAAGGAAACTGAGATAAGTTGCTCAAAATTACATGACTAGCAAAGAGCAAAGCTAGGATTTGAACCCAGGTCTTCCGATTCTTCAACTCGATGCGTTTCACTATACCAGCGTTTCCTAAGTAATATACAAACAAACTTTCTTTTTGTATTTAAAGAGCTCTGTAATAACTTTGTATGGTGACAGATGGTAAGCAGACTTACCATGGTGATCATTTCCGAATGTGTATGAATATCGAGTCACTATGATGTACACCTGAAACTAATGGAATATTGTATGTTAATTACTCTTCAAGGAAGAAAAGAGTTTTGTGTTTCAATTTAACTATGCACAAGTTATTCAAATTAAAAGTTGGTCAATTTAAATAAAAACAAGTCAATAACAATAGAGAGGGTATGCAGATTTAGCAAAATTCATAAAGAGGTGTGTGCATGAATGAAATTTTCATAATCCTCATAATCACTGAAAATGGGCAAAACCCAGGGGTAATTCTCCCATTTTAAGGGGAGGGATAAGTCAATGAGTGGCTGTGACAACAGCGAAGGTAACATGGACATGTGCCTTCCTTTAACAATACCTGATATTTAAGTCCACCTCCCTCTACCCTAAAAGAAGTCAACTAAAGCAGAAACGATGTCACAGAGTGAACTGTCATTGTGAAGATCTTTAAATAATAGTCGTAAGTAACATCTGTGTGCCTGGCGCTCTGCTCTGGGCTCTTACAAGCATTATCTCATGTAATCCTTCTTCCACCCTGTAAGGTATGTTTAGTAATCTAAGTTTTCAGATGAGGAAGAGCAGTAAGAGTCAGACCTGTCATCAAATTTTTTTTTTTTTTGCGGAAGATTAGCCCTGAGCTAACATCTGCTACCAATCCTCCTCTTTTTGCTGAAGAAGACTGGCCCTGAGCTCACATCTGTGCCCATCGTCCTGTACTTTATATGTGGGACGCCTACCACTGCATGGCTTTTGCCAAGCAATGCCATGTCCACACCCGGGATCCAAACCCGTGAACCCCGGGCCACTGAGAAGCAGAAAGTGCGCACTTAACCGCTGTGCCACTGGGCCGGCCCCTGTCATCAAATTAATAAACTGAGTGCACGTAGTTTCATGGAGCAGCAAGTTCCAATTAATGACAGCATATAATGACCACTCTGTAAAGGTTCTGTTTTCCCTTTTTCCCTCTAGAATAAGTGTCAGGAGACCCACATTCTAACCCTGCTTCTGTCTATCACCAGCTGAGTCACAATCCTTGGACAAATCTCTTAAACTCTAGGCCTTGGTTTTCCACACATATGAAATAAAAAGTTGGAATTTTGTCATCCCTGATGTCCTCTTTATTTCTAAAACCCTACCCTTCAAATTTCTAAAAATATTTATATGTATCATGTCAGGAATGCACAGATTGCATGAGCTAGATGTGTTCTTTTTTTTTTTGAGAAAGACTAGCCCTGAGCTAACATACGCTGCCAATCCTCCTCTTTGTGCTGAGGAAGACTGGCCCTGAGCTAACATCCATGCCCACCTTCCTCTACTTTATATGTGGGACGACTGCCACAGCATGGCTTGTCAAGTGGTGCCATGTCCACACCCGGGATCCAAACCAGCGAACCCGGGCCGCCAAAGCAGAATGTGCGAACTTAACTGCTGCGCCACCAGGCCGGCCCCTGGTTGTTTTGATACAGCGCCAGCGTTGTAATTCCTGTCACTTGTCCTAACACAGAGAAAGTGGGTTAACTGACCTATTTCGAGCAATAGGATTGGAGCGATTATTAATGCACAGCACTCCAAGTGATAACCCAGAAAATCAACAAACATTTCTGGAGCAACTATTCCAGCCGGGCATTCTGGGAGATGCAAAGGGATAGTCTTGTCCTCAATGAGCTTTCAGACAATTGAGGAAACAAGACCAAACCCATGAACATTTAAATTGCTGATCAAAGTGTAGAGTTGGAGAGGCCTTTGACCTCATCTAGGCACAGATTTACACAATATGGGAGCTGAAAAGGACCTCAGAGGTGGGCCCAACCCTCCCCCCTCCCTGTACCACCCCGAATTTATGAGTGAGAAGACCAAGGGCCAAGAGGGTGAGATCATGTGTCTGCAGCCCGGCAGCGAGTTAACCAAAGAGCAGGGGTTAAGACTCCATTCAAGAGCTGCCGGAGGTCCGTTTAACTGGACTGGGAGATTCAGATTGCATGTGAATCGTGGCCCATTGGGACGTGGGTGTGGGGGCCTCTCTGTGTCACACCTGAGCACTGAGAAGCCACAAAAGGTCTTCATGGTAGAGAAAGGTTCACCGGGCAGTCAAGAAGTTATTGCACGGAACACAGCTGTTAACACATGAGGCCTGTCCCTATGTGCTGATGGGGAGCAATCAGCTTAAACTGTGAACAAAAGCAAAGTGTACAACATTACACGCGTGTATGTATGTGTGTGTGTGTGTTTGTAAATGCATACGGTTTCTCTGGGCAGATAAATAAAAACCTGGCTACGATGTTTGCTGCAGGGAGGGGACCCGAACTCCTACAGGTGTAGGAACTGGATGTATTTTTCACTGTATGTTCTTTCGAACATTTTGACTTTGGGAGCTTTTGCATATATTACTTACATAAAGTCATCATTTTTTAAGAAGATATTTTTGTCTAAACTGCAAAGCTCTTTTTCTAAATGAAATAAATCCTTTTGTGTGATAGTACCTTGTGGTAAAGTAGTCATCTGACTACAGAGCGATAAGATCAAGGCTAATTATACAGTTACTGCCTCAATCATATCCAAAAAGTGTTAGCAAGGGTGTGATATCCTGACATTAACAGTTGATTTATTTCCCTCTGTGCTTGCTCTCCAGGTAGTGATGGCAGGCGTTGCAAGGGTGCCGGATACTGTCACACACAACTGGGATGGGAATCTTGGCATAGCCGTGTCCTCCCACAGCTGGCTGAGGCCTCAGCATGCGCTATAAATAGCAGGGACAAATACAATCAATCCTGCTTTCAAAATGCAATTCATGAGATCTCTGCAGAGAAGTGAACTCGACAGCACACTGCAATCTTTCTACCATGGAACTGGAAGAGACAAGCAAGATCCTCCTAGGCATCTAGTTTCTGGACACGATTGGACCCATCGCACATCCAAGTCCACTTAACAAGCTCTGTTCGAACAGGGTTAAACAGAGTCCACACACACGAAGTTCTGTTCCTCCCGAGAAAGACGTTCCTAGCTGAATTTTTGGTTACGGAGGAACCATCTACTTCATCTAAGATTTGTGAATGCATCCTCAGCCTCATAATTGCATATTTTAGCTAGGTTTAGATTTTCCAGAAAGTAAAAAAGCACTTAGGCAGTGGGTTGCGTGTAATTCACTCTTTAAATGCTTTTGGGGGCGCAGAAATAGCGCCTGCTCTTCAAGAAAGTCTGCCCAGCAACTTGCCACTTTGGGAATTTTCCTGGCCTGCTTGGTAAGCCTGAGTGAAACCCCGATGCTGACAGGTACAAGCTTATCATAAGAAGCCTAGGATGCAGGTTTCAAATTGTCTCCATCTTCAGTCTAGTTGCTTTCAACCATCATAGCGGTTCAGAACCAGTAAGCAGCTTTGGGGAAAATTCAGGTACCCAGATCTTTCATGCCTCCAAATCTCCCGACTGTGAGGAGCCCTGGAGAGGTCAGATTAGTAGAGAGAATGAAACAGTGACGTGAGGTGTAGGAGGAGACTGGAGAGCTGAGCCCAGGCCAGCTCGTTCCTGGCCTCTAGGCCATGGTGTGGATTTAGATCTTCCATCTAAGAGCCAAAGGGAAGCCACCAGAATCTGTTAAGGAGAGGAAGGGCAGCTCAGGGATAGGCTTGCTGTTTTAATCCACCTGCCCATAGTGTAAGGACCTGATTGGAAGGGGGCAAAAGTGGATGGATGTAGCCCGCTTGGATAGATTTTGTAATAATCAAGCCAGTTTGGCCTAAGACAGAGGCGGTAGCGTCAGAGAGGAGTGGACAGATTGGAGAGGCATTCAGGACGCGAAACCAGTTGAGAGATGTTGGTAATTGGTTGGATACAGGAGCGAGGGAGAGGGGAGGTGTCGAGAATAATTCCCAGATTCCTAGGACTCTAGGATTCTGACAAAGGCAGGAATTTGTGCATCTGACTAGTCCCCCGGCCTGGGCAGTTCCCTCGTGCTGGCTGAACTTGCCCTGGGTCCGGACGAAGGCCGTTTCTGGCAGTGCTTCATGAATCGACGGTTCACCAGCCTTCTGTGAACCTAAGGGCTGGGTGCCCACAGGACCACAACCCTGACCCCAAAGAATCATGCAGTCACTGCCTCTTCTGTGCCTCTCTTTAGCTAGAAAACACAGTTTACAAGTGTTAGAAAGACATTTTATTTAATATTTAGAGACCCAATCACCAGTGGTAATTGGAGAAGTTTGTACTACGTAGAAACAAAAATAAAAAAGGCAAATATTTATCTGTAGAAAAATTTTGCTAATCCTTAAAAAATAAAAGCAATTTGTGGTGTATCTTAACTCAGTTATTTTACCTGTATGCGTGTGTAGGGGTGTGGGCATGTGTAAGTGTGTGTCAGGCAATTTTGAGAATCCGATTGATCTTTCAGGCTTTTCCTTCTTAATTAATCCCTTAAATGCAATATAACATCACCATGATGTATATGGTTAGGAAAACAATTCCATCTTTGCAGAATAAGTTTTATTTTTAATGTTGCAGATCAAAACTCAACGATGAGTTGAGTCTAGAGGAATTGGCACTGGACCTCCATTCTCTTGATCCTGTGGCTGATGAAAAGGTTCTGGGAGTTTGGGCAGCTCGGTGCTCTTTCCTAGCAAGAGAGTGAGGGGTCCAAATTCCAGAGACTTCCCTCTGAGCTGCTAGTGACTCCCACCGAGCGTTGGATAAATGCACATATGCCCTTCAATCAAGCCAAGACTCCTGAAAAGAACGTTCTCTCGGCAGGCGAGACGATTTGAAAGAACTTGCCGGCAAGCACTTCAGTCCTCCATCTTTCCTCTCTTTGTTGAAATGGCTTTACCAGTAAAACTGCTGCTAATGAGGTGGTTTATCTGGTTTTATTGCCCTTAATTTTATTACCCGCCCAATATAATCTTGGCCCAAGCTTCCCCTGCTTAGAGGCATGGTAAAAGCTTTATGTCTAGGAAAGCCCCACCCAAGAAGAGATTTTACTTTCTTGGATGTGGGCTGCGAGCCAGGCCCGTAGGCTGAGGTGCTGGCCCCTTCAACAGCTTCATTTAGAAGCTCTAAACCATTCTATAATCTTCTTTTCTGGCCTTGGTGGAGGTAGACTCAGAGAACCGAGATTAAATGAGTAAGCCCAAAGAAAGAGGCGAAGACCAAAGACCTAATTTTCCATCTCTCAAGGTTATCAGAATCGCTATTTCAGATTTTACTTGCTTTGGCGTCCAACCACTGAGAAACGTTTGTGGTCAGAGCAAGACATCAACCATCTCGAGTCTTGGCTGGGGGCTGGGCTCCCGCAAAGCCTCTCACGGGTGAAGTCAAGCAACTGGGCGAAGAGCGGTGAGGCGGGAGAAGAAACGAGCAGGTGGAAAATGGAGGAAGTGGAGACTAGATCTCAGCGAGAAGGGTGGAGCACTCCTTGTCGTTTGTCTGGCGCGGGGCGCGATCTTGCTATCTGGCGATTTCACTTCTCTGAGGGGCTCTCCATGTCTCTGCCGCCCTTCTAAGGAGTAGGTTTGTCTACAGGGACCCCGAGTTCTTTCTCACTGCCCACATCCACAGATCGGGCAGTTATTGTTACTACTTTAAGAACCTGGTATTCCTGTTTCCACCGCCAAACCCTTATAGAACATTCTTCCTGATACCTTTCATTTAAATGCATGTAATAAAACACTTTTGGGTGTCAGTGCCTGTGTCAATTTGATTTTACACTTGCTGCTCTTTCTCAACTACTCATGGAAAATTTGTTTTCTCTTCCTTCTATGCTACCCCACCCACAGCCCCACTCTCTGCTGCTGGTTTGACCACAGCCGGCCACAGGCCAAGAGAACGTGGGTGGGCAGGTGCCAGCCCCTGACTGCTAGAAGCTATGGGGGCTGAGACCGGGGAGGGTGGGGTGGGGAGGAAAGGCGGGTGGAGCCCACAGACTTTCTCTTTCTGAAAAAGCTCATGCGAGCTTTTTCAACAAACTTGTGTTGAAAATATTAAGAAATACTCATTCTGAGTCAGAACAGTATAGGTGCTCTTGGAAAGCTCTCCAGGACGTACTATTAAGTGAAAACACTTACTGTCTGATTCCATTCGCTGTTTGTTTTCTAAGGATGTGCATATATATGCTTGTATATGCATGAGATTTTTCTGGAAGAGGAAACAAAGAATTGTTTACAGTGATTACCTCCAAAGGTAATGTGGGGGGGGGGGGAGGGTGGATTTCTACTTTTTTTTTTTTTAAGATTTTATTTTTCCTTTTTCTCCCCAAAGCCCCCCAGTACATAGTCATATATTTTAGTTGTGGGTCCTTCTAGTTGTGGCATGTGGGATGCCACCTCAGCGTGGCTTGATGAGCAGTGCCATGTCCGCACCCAGGATCCGAACCTGTGAAACCCTGGGACGCAGAAGTGCGGCGCGTGAACTTAACCACTCGGCTGCGGGGCCGGCCCCTGGATTTCTACTTTTTGTTATTATATTTGCTTCTTATATTGTTTGAATTTGTTTTTACTTGAGTGCATATGTTGCCTTTATAAGAAACAGGTTTTAAGGGGGTTTTTTTAATATTAATTTTCTGTCTCTTGGTGATTCATTGTCCCTTAATAATGAGAACCATTAAGAACGTACTAAATAGAAGTTGAGGCTGAATAATACAGAATAATTCTGTCTTACCTGATAGAGGGAACAACGTAAAAGAATACTGTTTTGAACACTAACTATGTGCCATCAGAGTTGTCATTGCTGTATATAGTTACTTAATCTTGTCAAAATCAAATGAGGTAGGGGCCAGCCCAGTGGCATAGTGGTTAAGTTCATGTGCCCTGCTTCAGCGGCCCAGGGTTCACAGGTTCAGATCCCAGGCGCAGACCTACACACCACTCATCAAGCCATGCTGTGGTGGTGTCCCACATGCAAAATAGAGGAAGATTGTCACAGATGTTAGCTCAGGGACAATCTTCCTCACCAAAAAAAAAAAAAAAAAAAAATCAAATGAGGTAGCAACTTGACAATCCTCAGTTTATCAATGAGGAAACAGGCTCAAAGGAGTTTCATGATATTCTCCAGGTCACAGAGCTTGTTAGGAAGTACTTGGGAGCCGACCACTTCATAAGGACAGGTTAAACATCTGCCTTGTCTGCCACGGAATCCCCAGGTCCTAGCACAGTGCCTGGCTCATGGCGAGGGACACAAATATACTTGTTGAATAAATGAATAATATCTAATATAAAGTGTATGCCCTTAACAACTACCTTAAATTCCCCTCAAAAGCTAAACTTGGGGTGGCCAAAAAGCACTTTGTCAGCACATGCACAGGTGTGGGCACAGGTCCTGGATCAGTGTGGCGTGGAGGGAGACCCCAAACCTCACGTAAGCCCTCACCTCCTAGCGCTGTACCTACTGCCTGCTGGTTCCTGCTCTGGAACCTTCACTCCACACTCCCCCTCACCTACTGGGGCCACAAAAGAAACTTTTGTTTTTCCTGTCTGATTTACTACCCTAGCATTTCATTCATTCATTCACTCATCAAATATTCACCGAGAACCTTCCACCTGGAAGGCACTGAGGACACAGCAGTGGAAAACACAGATAAAGCCACTTTTTACTGCTAGTATTTGTCCTAAAGGAGGAGACAGATGAAAGAGGAATAAAAAACAAATAAGTGAGGAAATTCAGGTAGTATTCAGGATGTTAAAGAAAAAACATGATGTCACAAATCCCAATCATTCTTATGAAAAAAAAGTGATACTTATTTTTCTCAGTTCTTTTCTTCAAAAGTTACTGGATGCAAAAATATGAATTTGGACCTTTACTTCACACCATAACCAAAAAATTAACACAAAATGGATCAGAGAGCTAAATGTAAGCATGAGAACTATAAAACTTTTAAAGGAAAACACAGGAAAAAAATCTCTGTGAAGTTGGCTTAGACAAAGATTTCTTAGACACAATGCTACAGGCAAAATACATCAAAGAAAAAAACCTGATAAATTGGACTTCCTCAAAATTAAAAACTTTTGTGCTTAAAAGATGCCATTAGGGTCCGGCCCGGTGGCGCAGCGGTTAAGTGCACACACTCCACTTTGGCAGCCCAGGGTTCACATGTTTGGATCCCGTGTGTGGATATGGCACTGCTTGTTGAGCCATGCTGTGGTAGGCATCCCATGTAAAAAGTAGAGGAAGATGGGCACGGATGTTAGCTCAGGGCCAGCCTTCCTCAGCAAAAAGAGGGGGATTGGTAGATGTTAGCTCAGGGCTAATCTTCCTCAAAAAAAAAGAAAGAAAAAGAAAATGAAAAGAGGAGCTGCCCTGTGGCTGAGTGGTTAAGTTCACACACTCTGCTTCAGCAGCCCAGGGTTTTGCCGGTTTGGATCCTGGGCACAGACCTAGCACCACTCATCAAGCCATGCTCAGGCAGCATCCCACATGCCACAACTAGAAGGACCCACAACTAAAACATACAACTATGTACTGGGGGGCTAATGAGAGGAGGGGAGAATAAAATCTAAAAAAAATCCCTCAAAACTATAATTACAATAATTTGTTAATAGATACATAAAGTAAAAAGAGATAAATTGTGACATCAATAACAAAATGCAGGAGCCAGCTCTGATGGCCTAGCAGTTAAAATTTGGCGTGCTCTGCTTCAGTAGCCTGGGTTCAGTTCCTGGGTGCAGAACCACACCACCTGTCTGTCAGTAGCCATGCTTTGGCAGCAGCTCACACAGATGAACCAGAAGAACTTACAACCACACACAGCTATGTACTGGAGCCTTGCAGGTCAGTGGGGAAAGGAAGAAAAAGGAAGAAGACTGGCAACAGATGTTAGCTGAGGGCAAACCTTCCCCTGCAAAAAACAAAAAAAAAAAAGCAGGGAGGAGAGTAAAAAGGTAGAGCTTGAGCATGCACTTGAAGTTATTATCAGCTTCAAATAGACTGTTATAAATATAAATGGTTTTATGTAAGCTTCATGGTAACCACAAAGCAAAAATCTATAGTAGATACACAAAAGATAAAAAGAAAGAAATCTAAGCATACTACTGTAGAAAATCATCAAATTACAAAGGAAGAGAGCACGAGAGGAAGAAAGGAGTAAAGGAATTACAAAACAGCCAGAAAACAATTAACAAAATGGCAACGATAAATTCATACCTATTAGTAATTACTTTAAGTGTAAACAGACGAAATTTTCCAATCAAAAGTCTTAGAGTGGCTGAATGGATAAAAAAAAAAAAACAAGACCCATTTAAATGCTGCTACAGCATTTAATATCCCATGCAAATGGAAATCAGAAGAAATCAGAGGTAGCTATGCTTGTATGAGACAAACCAGACTTAAGCTGAAGACTCTAACGAGAGATAAAGAAGGTGATTAGATAATGATAATAGAGTCAATTCAACAAAAGGCTATAACATTTGTAACTTTTTATGCCCTCAATATAGGAGCACCTAAATAAATAAAGCAAATAATAACAGACATAAGGGGAGAAATTGACAGCAATATAACAATAATAGGGGACTTCAATACCCAACTTTCAACAATGGGTAGATCATCCAGACAGAAAATCAATAAGGAAACATTGGAATTAAACTGCATATTAGACCAGATGGATTTAATAGACAGTTACAGAACATTCCATCCCAAAACAGCAGAATACACATTCTTCTCAAGTACACATGGAACATCCTCCAACTGATTCACAAAAGAAGACTTGATCCATTTAAGAAGAGTGAAATCATACCAAGCATCTTTTCTGACCACGATGGCATGAAACTAGAAATCAATTACAAGAAGAAAACTGGAATATTCACATATATGTGGAGATTAAACATGATACTGAACAACCAATGGATCAAAGAAGAAATCAAAAGAGAAGTAAAAACATAATCTAGAGACAAATGAAAATGGAAATACAATATTCAAAAATTATAGGATTCAGTGAAATCAGTTCTGAGGGGGATGTTCATAGCAACAGATGCCTACGTTAATAAAAAAAGAAACATCTCAAATAGCTTACCTAACTTTACACCTCAAACGACTAGAAAAAGAAGAACAAACTAAGCTTAAACTTAAAAACTATGTTTTTAAACTAAGGCTTCCTTAGTAGAGGGAAGGAAATAAATGAAATAGAGACTGAAAAGACAGTAGGAAAGATGGAACTAAGAGCTGATTTTTTGAAAAGGTAAACAAAATAGACAAATCGTTGGCTGGACTTACCAAGAAAAAAAGAAAAAGGGTGCAAAGAAATAAAATTATAAATTAAAGGGGAGACGTTACAATTGATACCACTCAAATACAAAGGATCATAAGAGACTACTATGAACAATCATATCCCAACAAATCACACAACCTAGAAGAAATGGATAGCTTCCAAGAAACAAACAACCTACCAAGACTGAGTCACGAAGAAATACAAAATCTGAACAGACCAATTACTAGTAAGGAGACAGAATCAGTAATCAAAAATTTCACAAAAAATAAAAGTCCAGGAACAGATGGCTTCACATGTGAATTCTACCAAACACTTAAAGAAGAATTAACATGAATTCTTCTCAAAGTTTTCCAAAAAATTGAAGAGGAGAGAACACTTCCAAACTCATTGTACAAGGCCAGCATTTCCTGATACTACAACCAGACAAGGACACTACAAGGAAAGAAAATTAAAGGCCAATGTCCCTGATGAGCATAGATGCAAAAATCTTCAACAAAACATTAGCAGACTGAATTCAACAATTCACTAAAAGGATCATACACCATAATCAAGTGGGATTTATTCCAG